ACTATTTTACTTATGTTTTGGGATTTTGGAATATTGGTTTGGTTTTAATAAGGGCCTTTATGGTTCCAATTTGTAAGCTTTAACTTATTGGTTTTCTAAATTATATTATTTTAATATTTAAGTTGGATTTCCGCTGCAATACTTTGATAAAGCCTTAACGTTTTAACACGTGGCGGTAACATGCCAATGATTCTCCTCTATTTTTATTTAAAGTAAGTGGTTTGGAAAAGGGAGAATTATTGGGGCGTTACAATAAATGTTCGTGGTAGGCTTGAATTAATGAAATTGGTGCAAGTTGTAAATCGGTAAATTGGCCGTTTAAAACCAAATTGGATGGTTCCTTCTGCCCAATTGGACTCCCAAAAGGTATTAGGGACCATGGTAAACATTTCGGCAATTTATATTTCCGGGTCAAAAAAAGTAAAACAATTCTAAAATTGAAGGCATTATATCCATGCTTTTTGAGAAATTTCGAATGTTTTGGGGCTGGTGTCGAAAAGAAATGAGATTTTTGGGATGCATCTCGGGGTCATATAATGTCGTTTGGAACCATAAATGATCATTATATGTTGTCATAAATGTTCAAGGTAGGCTTGAGTTGATGAAATCAGCACAATTTGTTAACCGGTAAATTGGTCGTTTAAAGGCAAATTGGATGGTTCCACCTATCCAATTGGAATCCCGGAGGATATTAGAGACCATGGTAAACATTTCAGCAATTTTTTTTCGGGCGTAAAAAAGTCAAAAAAAATTCAAAAATTGAAGGCTATATCCATGCTTTTTGAGAATTTTTGGAGTCTTCGGGGCCCGATGTCGAACAGCCTTGAAATTATAGGGAATACATCTCGGGGTCATATAATGTCGTTTGGAACCATATATGATCATTATTTGTTGTCATAAATGTTCGTGGTAGGCTTGAATTAATAAAATCGGTGTAAACCGGTAAATTGGTCATTTAAAGGAAAATTGGATGGTTCCACCCACCCAATTGGACTCCCGGAAGGTATTTGGGACCATGGTAAACATTTTGGCAATTTTTATACCGGGCGAAAAAAGTCAAAAAAATCCAAAATTGAAGGCTAATATCCACGCTTTTTGAGAAATTTCGAATGTGTTGAGGCTTAGCATCAAGCATTTAGATTTTAGGGGATACATCTCGAGGTCATATAATGTCGTTTGGATCCATATATGATCATTATATGTTGTCATAAATGTTCGTGGTAAGCTTGAGTTAATGAAATCGGTGCAAGTTGTAACCCGGTAAATTAGTTGTTTAAATGCAAATTGGATGGTTCCACCCAGCTAATTGGACTCCCGAAGGGTATAAGAGACCCGGTAAACATTTCGGCAATTTTTATTTTTGGGTGAAAAAAAAAGTCAAAAAAATTCCATAATTGAAGGCTAATATCCACGCTTTTTGAGAGAGGTTTCGGGTAGAGCTGTCATTTTGGGTAAACGGGTCGGGTTTGGGTCGATAAGAGTGGGTCGGGTCAATTAGGATTAATTCCATAACCTATACGAGTTGGGTTTGGGTTGGGTTATGCTTGATTCGGGTCACGTCTGGTCATACTTCTTATCGGGTTTGGGTCGGGTTAATAACATGTCAAGTTACATTTGGGCCGGGTGAACAATAGATCGGGTGTAATTCGGGTTTTCATGGGTTAAAACGGGTTAGGGTAATTCTCGGGTTTGATTGGGGTTCGATTCAAGTCAATCATTTGTGGGTTAGAATCAGGTTGGGTCATTCTCGGGTTAGAGTCGGGTTCGGTTCATGTCAAAAATTTGCCAATTATAATGAGGTCGGGTAATTTTCAAGTTGGGTCATTCTCGTGTTCAAGACAAGTTCGATTCAAGTCAATATTTGCGGGTTATAATCATGTTGGGTCATTTCCATGTCGGTCATTCTTGGAGTCAAGTCGGGTTATGTTCAAGTCAATAATTTACAGGTTACAATCAGGTCACGTCAGGTCAGGTCATTTTCAAGTCAGGTCATATTCGGGTTCAACTAACTATAAATAGATAATTATCATTTTTATCAAGCTAATTATTTCCAAGGGAACTATGGTAATTTAGGAAGATAATTATCTCCATTGACCATACAACAAATGTATACTATATTTAACTCTTAAATTTGAGGATGATGCTCCTATCTTTTTCTGGCCTGGACGGACTTGGCCTCCCTAGACAAAATGCTCTAATCAACAATAATAAGGTGGTCTAAATTGCATTTAAGGTGATTTGAAATCGGGTCAGGAACAATTTTGCTTGAATTTAGGTCGGGTCAATAACAAGTTGTGTTGATTTCGAGTCGGGTTATTAATCGAGTTGAATTTTTGGGTCGGGTTAGTAATAGGTCTGGTAAAATTTGGGTCGGGTCAATAACAAGTCTGGTTGAATTTGGGTCAGGTCAATAACAAGTCGGGTTGATTTCGGGTCGGGTTTGTAACAGGTTGGGTTTAATTTGGGTCGGGCTAGGAACGGGTCGGGTTGAATTCAGGTCAGGTTAGTAACAAGTCGGGTTAAATTCGGGTTTTGACGGGTTAAAACGGGTTTGGGTCAATTTCGGTTCAAGTCGAGTTCGGTTCAAGTCAATAATTTACGGGTTACATTCGGGTCGGGTCATCTCCAGGTCAGTTCATGTTCGAGTTCGGGTCTCACATACTCGGGTCAACTCAGGTCTAGGGTCGGGTCAGGTCGGGTTTGGGTCACCATTTTTTTCGGGTTCAGATGGGTCGGGTGAGTCGATATTTCGAGTATGGTCAACTTTTGACAGCTCTAGGTTTAAGTATATGTAAGAAATGTTCAAAAAAAAAAAGTATATGTAAGAAATTAAGAAACACTTGGATACTCACCGTAAGCTAAAAAAGGGAGGATAATTTCGTTGCCCATCATCTTGCTAGGCTAATTCCTTTCGGCAACGAACAAGTGTGGGATAATCATTTTTCACATGAAATTTCGCCCTATGTAACGATGGATACTTTATCCTTAGATTAATTGAATTATAAGATCCGTTTCCCTTTAAAAAAAAAAAAGCTAAAAAAGAACGAGAGGGATAATGTTAAGCTGTTAACTGTTAAGTGGTGGTGAAATCTTTTATTTTTTTTGACTTTTTTTGGATGGTACATTAAAATAAAAATTACTTTGTTAAACACAATGTTTCATATGTTATTCAGAGGCTACTTTCGATCACGAGTTACTCGATCGGTCTTGGGTTATTCAATCGGAGATTATTTGGTTAGGGGTTACTTATTCGATTAGAGATTATCTAATCGCTGTGTCAATCAGCATATGATGGTCAACCCCCCCCCCCCCCAAACACACACACACCAAAAAAAAAAAAGTTGTAATTAAAATTGTTGGTTCCTTCAAAAAGTTGGTTAAATTTGGAGAAAATTTGCAAATTGCAGCCATTTAAAGTTCGTATTTTGCAAATTGCAGCCATTTAATTTTTTTTTTGCAAATTGCAATCCAAAAGTTCGTATAAATTGTAAATTGCAGCCCGATTCAATTTTTTCATCGGTTTACATGTTAAAAAAAATCTTCGGTTAAGATTTTAGGGGTAATTTTAGCCCTTAGGGGCCCGAATTGAGCTCGGAATTAGCAAAAAAAAATGACGTAAGTATCTCGTTTTGCGTAACAAAAATGTATCGATTTGTGGGAAACTGTAAATATGAGACACTTACGTTATTTTTTTGTTAATTCCGAGCTCAATTCGGGCCCTTAAACCTTAACCGAAGATTTTTCAACATGTAAACCGATGAAAAAATTGAATCGGGGTGCAATTTACAATTTATACGAACTTTTGGGCTGCAATTTGCAAAAAAAAAATTTAAATGACTGCAATTTGTAAAATACGAACTTTAAATGGCTGCAATTTGCAAATTTTCCTAAATTTGGATGGTAAAAAAAATTGCTCCAAAACCAAAAGGAAAATTTGTCAAAAATAAGCCAACCTTTGTCCGGTTCGCTTAAAATAAGTCAACCTTTCGATTAACTCAGAATAATCCAACCTTTATAGGGTATTAACTTTAAATGAGTCATTACCTGTTGTAACCGGTTATTAAGGTTAATTGTGACACGTGTTAGAATATGATTCGTCATTTTTCTATTAATAATTAATTAGGATATATTATATGATTAATTATAAAAAACTAATAATCATAAATTTAAAAAAAAATAAAAAAAAGGAAAAAACCCCACCCCCCTCACCCTCCCCTGCCAGCTCACCCCCCCTCCCCTACCAGGCCGCCAGTAGCCGGAAACCACAAATTCCCGGGCGCCGGCACCGACGGCCTCTCCACCCACCCACGACGCCCCCACCCTTCCCCTTCCCCTTCCCTTCCCTTTCCTTTCCCCTTTCCCCACCCCGTTACCCCCGTCCTTCCCCTTCCCCACCGTCAATCGACACCCCAAAACCCTTGAACTCCGATTCCGATTTTGTTAGGGTTTCGTTAGGGTGGGTTAAAGGGTTTGGGGGGTCGACAGATGGTAAGGAAGGGGATGGAGGGGTCGATTTCTACAGGGAGACGGGGGAGGGGGGTTGTTTCCGGCAGGGGGTGAAGGGGAGGGGGTGGTGTCGTGTCGTGTCGGGGTGGGGTGGGGTGGGGTGGGGAAAGGTGAATGGGGAAGGGGAAGGAGTGGGGTTTGGTGGGAGCATCGTGGGTGGGCGGTAGAGGCCGTCGGTGTCGGTGTCGGCGCCAGGGAATTTTGTGGTCGCCAGCCACCGGCGGCCTGGCAGGGGAGGGGGGGTGAGCTGGGGTTGGGGTTTTTTTTTTCTTTTTTTTTAAAATTTATAATTATTAGATTTTTTAATAATTAATTATATAATAATTCCTAATTAATTATTATAAGAAAAATGACGAACCACATGCTGACACGTGTCACAATTAACATTAATAACCGGTTAATAAACGGTTGCAGGTCACTTGACTCATTTAAAGTGGATACCCTATAAAGGTTGGATTATTCTGAGTTAATCAAAAGGTTGACTTATTTTGAGTGAACCGGACAAAGGTTGGCTTATTCTCGACAAATTTTCCAAACCAAAACCCACAATTCACAAATTGTTAAACCCTTGTTCTCCTGCACAAGGGATCAAGCTTATGCACAAGTACTTGCTTGAAAATTTGAAATTTCAACAATACCAATTGGGTTTAACAAGTTTGCTACTTTAAAAAATGGAAGTCCATACCATAACGGCGGCAAAATTACCGAAATCTCCGGCGTTACTCCGGCGAAATTTCCGGGCTTTCTGTTCACCAAAGTTCCTAACTTTATCGTCTTTGCAAACTCCATCATCAACAACTCACTTAAAATCTGAAATGGGGAGCAACAAACTTGAGTTTCCAACTAAAAGAATGTTTATTCTTGGCATGGGTTATGTGGGTCAATTCTTTGCTCAAGAGCTCAAGCATGAAGGATGGTACTTAATTTCTCCTTTTAATTTATTAATTTGATTATTATGTTATTATTTTGTTGATGTTGGTTTAAATTTGATGATCATTTAATAGAAAATTTTGGGATTATTGTGATAAATGTTGTTTTGGGTATAAATTATGCCATGTGAGTTGAAGTTTTGTATTGGAATTTATTCATATGCCATGTTAAAAGTAGTGGTAAAATTTGGAGTTTGGTCATTTGGGTTTGATTGGGTAAAGTAATGCATAATTTTATCAAATTTTTAGCAATTTTATGACTTTTATCTACTGAAATAATCTTCAATGATGGTTTTTGCATTGTTTTCTAATTCTTTAGTTATGTTTATGTGGGATTACTAGTGTTTGGAATGTTGATTGCTAAATATTTGGATTTGAATGAGATGTACAAGTATGGATTTACGAGTTCCGGGTTGCTCCAATGCTGTTAGTTGCTTCAGTTGCTAACATGAGGAAGTTGCAGGGAAGTTGCAGGTACTTGTATGAGCGATGCAAAGAAAAAGGTTCTTGAACAAAAGGGATTTGATACCTTTGTTTTTGATGCAATGGAACCAGAGTACGTGTTTACTTTCATCTAGTTTTATTTGTGGTATTTGGTTTTTCATGCTGTTGAATTGCCTGAAAAATGATCAATACACAAGATTTCGCTAGCCAGGTTGTTGATGTTTGTCCTGATTCCTGAATTGATGAGAGGGTTCTTAAGTAGGATGTGCTGCCATATCACACTACAACATTGTTAAATTGTTTTCCCTGAAATGTTTCATCTACAAAGTTGGGTGTGTAATTTAAGTTCCATTGAAACCTGTTTATAAGACTTGAATTGCTTCATTTGGAAATCATTGCTTTGCCTTTGTTCGGGAGGGGCCTAGACTTCTGATGGTTTAGGTTTCTCTGCCAGGATACTCTGATTCACTATATTCCTTTACTTATTGCCTCGGATCCTCCAATATGTGACTCAGATGGAAGTTCCTCGATAGACTAAGATGCTGTACTCACCTTTTAGTTTCCATACCCCCAATTTTGGATATTGGTGATCCAGTAAGTTGTAAACTCTTCAATGTCGAGACTGCCTCAGATAAGTGTACTCTTTCATCCTCAGATTTATTTGTTAGCGTACTTGATGCAGATTCTTCAACATGAAGATACCTTCAAAGAAAGTTTGGTGGATGGAAATCTCCAGTGGCTTTGTTATTTGTCAACTACAAGTATGTGCTCTATGTATTCATTCATAGATGTATATGAAGCATAGCTTTGAATTATTCCTGTTCTCCGTACATTGATTCTGTCTACATAAAAAATATTGTACCAGTGTATAGGGAGTCACATGACATGGGGTAGGGATTGAAGAGTGCATCTTATTGTTTCCAGAATCCAGATACGATTTGACTTCATTCCTCTGGTTAAGTTTGGATAACCATATGAATGCACAAAAGAGATTCAGGAGAGCATTCCTTGACGGATGTGTTTCTCTAGTACATTGGAAAGGATTTATTTACAAGAGGTCTCAATACCACTGTATAATGCAAAGGAAAGCTGCAGACTATGCTAACCAGTATTTTGTTAGACTAATGGACTATGAAACCTAGCTAAAGATTTCATTGAAGTATTATTATTCAGTTAAGAGTTAATAAGGTGTTGTAAATAAGGCATCTTATTCTTTTGGTACAAACTATTTTTACATGTAGGTATATACGGAGATGCTAGAGGAGCATGGGTTGATGAGAAGTAAGCATCTGCACAGTAGTTTCTTTGAATCAGAATTTTCTGTGATAAACTGATAATCATATCTCAGGTACCTTATAGATTCTTGATTTGCTGCAGTTATATCCCAGAGCCTTCAAGCAACTTAGCCAAAATGAGACTAAAGTCAGAGGAAGGGTGGTTAAAGCTGGGACAAGATCTTGACCTCTCAACCTATTTATTTCGACTTGGTGGTATATATGGTCCTGGAAGAAGGTTTGCTGATTAATTGCCGATCAGTGATGTCTTTATTATAAACTTTGAGCTATGAGTAGCTACTGCAGAGATTTTTAATGCAATGTATGCTGTATTACAGTGCTATTGATACCATTCTAAAGAAGAAAGAAATGTCAGAACGTCAGAAGAGGAGAGCAACTAGAAATTTTACATCCCGAGTTCATGTTGCAGACATTTGTCAAGCTCTTAAAGCAAGCATTTCATTGCATGTCCAGAGGTTAGTTTCCTAGTTAGAATTTTCGGAAATTATGTCTAACAATTTAGCAATTTTGATGAAGCATTTATACTTAAGAGTTAAGAGCATTTACACACATATATACACTACAAATGAAAATATAGACCTATTGGTAGGCTTGTTATGGTTCAAAACCAATTTATATGATCCTTGGGGACACCAACCACATTCACTTCAATTTTGGAAAAATTTCCCAAAATTGGTCCTTAAACGTGGATTATAGCCTTCAATTTTTGATAATTTTCGACTTTTTTTAGCCCAAAATAGAAAGAGATAGGAAAGTTTCTCCTGGACCCCATGAGACGCCGGAAGGCCATTTGGGTGGTTGAGATTGCCCACTTTGCCTTTAAACTCTCAACTTAGCCGATTATGTACACTCCTCCTTTCATTAACTTAAGGGCTCCATGAGCCTTTTTGTGATAGACTAGTGGCCATAAATGGTTCCAAACAACATTATATGACCCCGGGGATCATCCCATATCATCACATCAATATACGATACCGGGTCATCAAAATTGGTCCAATTTCGTGTATTATAGACTTCAAGTTTGGTCTATGGAGGGTTGTTTGGACCCAACAACATTATGCATCAAGGTGCTTCTCGGGGTTTACAAAAGGCCTTGGGATGCCTACTTGGGCCCGGAACCATCTCATACGTACCTTGGCCCACCCCTGTTAATCATGTCTTAAGGTGCCTTGGCTTGGCCTTGCGCATTGCCTTGCCATTGTTCCCTTGAGTTGGCCTTGCGTTGTTTTAGCCCTATGGCATGCACGGGAAATGTTAATTGCAACTGGTAAGCCACTAGGGGATGGCCAATTGTTGAGGGACCTTATATGAAAGAGATTTTGTAAGACCAATTTTAAAATTCAATCAAAAGTAGTAATACAGGTCAAAAGATGTGCTAGATGGAGCTCATCTGACATCCATAACTCTTGCTTGTGATGCCTATGAGACTTGTGCATGGATTCATAATCCTTAAGAGAATCGTTGAGGATTGAGAAAAGTCCTGAGTTTACTCTTTTCAAAGGTTATTCATACTCGTGAAGCCCTCTTTAAGCTTTTTAAGGGTTGTGGAAAATCTTGACCAATTTTAGAAAATTGTTATCCAATAACCACCAACAACCCTTAAGTAAGATTGATTCACCCAAGCAACTCTATATTTGATTATTGTGAGCCCCTTTATGGCACCAGTTTCAAAATTCATAGAAACTTGTACACTCTTCCCAAGCATCCTAGCAAACTAGCACGGTTTTTCCCAAGGTCCCAAAGTGCAGTGAAGCTAAGGAACTAAGGCTATATCCAAAAGGCTGCTACTTCCAAAGATTGTCTGTTATGTTGCAATCCTATTGATACCATTTCAAAGATGTAGTTACTTCCAAAAAGTCAGGGAAGTAGAGCGCCAAGTTGTTTCTGCAGATATTAGCAATCTTTCAAAGCACATGCGTAGTATATTAATTCAAGTTCATTTGTTGATTTTTGTAGAATGTTATTTGGGAAATTATGCCCATTAACTAAGTGGTTCCTAGGTCATTCACATACATTAATACATAGATTAAGAGGACCGTGAAGGGATATGTTTGAATTAATCTTACTATTTGTTTATTAAAAACAGGATTTAGTTTGCTATGTATGGGTTAAGTGGCTCAGAGTCTCAGAAAGAGCACCTTGACTGAGACTTGCACTTCAAAGGAATAAATGTAATCCTTACAATTCTTGAGCAAAGACTTCACCCTCACAGGTTTTGCCAATGACTTTGGGTTGCTGTGGTCATGTCTTCATTTTATTAAGCTGGATATTGTTACTGTGTAGGACATATACTTATGTTTGTTGCTCATTATCAAAAGTGAGTGCAGGGAATAGGATATCATATACATATTGTAGAGGATGTAGTATTCTGCGAAATTATATGAAAGCAGTAATAATATACTTCATACTAGGTTTCAGTTTTTGCATTTATTTTGTTTGCGTATTACAACTTACAAGTAGCTGCCTATATAATTCAGATTATATACGCTTAGGAAATCTAACATTTCAGCTTCATAATGTACCTATTCTACAGGAAGATTTATAATGTTGTTGATGATGATCCTGCCTCTAGAGCCGAAGTCTTTGCCCTTGCACACCAACTGATAAAGCAGAAATGGCCTGGTCTGATTGGTGCTACTGACAACTCTATCAATAGCATACTTCTTGGGGGTACAGAAAAACGAGTTAGCAATGCTCATATCAAGAAGGAATTGGGTGTTAAATTATTGTATCCAAGTTATAGATCAGGCCTACAAAGTATCATAGACAATATGGAGGATCCTCTTTTACATAGTGATTAATTAATGTTTGCAATCATCCTTTGTATCAATCATTAAAAAATATAGAAGCCCTTTTTGGCAATTGTTTAACTGTTTGTAGTAGTTGGCTAATTTTGTTAGCTAGTTCAATTAATTGTTTGCGTGTGATATTGATGTGTTATCCGGAAAGTTTTTCTTTTTTTTAGAGTTCTTGGTAAAGGGTTATATAAAATATGATCAATTTCAAGATTTTATAATCTTTTCACTACATCAAAATCCTCTTCCAAACAACTCCTACAACTAGCTTTATGAGAAGCTAGCAGCGTTTTGAGGGTTAAAACCAATAGATCATGCAAACTGAAAGTAGAAATCTGCCTATGCAAACTTGCAAAGTATGCAAACTGAATGTAGAAATCTGCCTATTACAAGGCCTTTAAATAGACATAAATTACACGGTTCAACATGGTGCAATGCAACACAGTGCATAATGTTCACAAATCTACCAGAGACAAGTTAATTGTGCTGTTAGCAACTGGCTGCACGATAAATCTATTGTCAAGTAACCAAACAGTCATGCTACAAACCCAGCCAAATCAACATGGAGAGCCACATTAACAATGATCAACCTCGCTCTAATAGAGGGGAACCGCCAAAAAAACATGCGGTGTATACAGCACTAAGAAATTACAACCAATAATAATCTATCTTGTTACTGAGGCATATAGTTGCTGATCTGTAGCAGCATTTAGTGTCCTCACAGGTTAGCAGAGGATATCCAGACTCCAACAAATAGAGCTTACAAAAGAGAAATACTAGGAAGTTCAGTTTCCAAGTGCCATATCAGTTCTGATTCCAATCACCTTCTCTGAATGTGTGATGTCAGGAAATCCTGTGATGCTTGCAAAAGTTCAGCTTCTTTCAATGCCCTCCAATCTACTATGATACATTATGGTGGCTAAAACATGCGACAATATGTTTTCCAAAACACTAACTCCGGGCAACACTAGCTTAATCAAATGACAATAAAAGGAATACTGCAACAAAAGCAACAGCAAAATTCAGTAAAACCCTACCGAACAGGAAATACAAATATGCTTTTTTCTGGAATTTTCTGCTCACCGTTAAAATAATGGATGGAAGTCAATCTTTGCGATATCTTGCCCAAAACCCTTTCTTCTTACTGGACTGGTAGTCTGAACTAGATTTACTGAGCTTTGATCCAAGAGAAAAATGTCGCTTCAAGAATGGTTTTGCAAATGCAATCTTTGAACTACTGCTAGCATCCATCTTGGGTAACTTCCCTTTCCCTGTAATTTTTTGACGTTCAGAGCTATCAACTTCACCATCAAGATAGCTATCTATAACACGATTCCTTGATATTTTCTGAAATTTCATTCTCAAATCTGCCTCTGCCTTTGAAGCTTTTTTAGACATTTTAGAAGTTTGTTTCTGCCCAACTGTGCAAATTGGGCAAACAGGGTCATATTTTTCAGCTTCTGTAGTCATGGTTTCCAAGCATTCAGCATGGTATACATGACCACATGCTAGAACAGCAACAACTGAGAGCTCTGCCAAAACCTTTAAGCATGCTCCACATGTTTGAAGATCAAGGGAAGGGGAATAAGAGAACCTGCTGCTTGATCCACTTATCTTGTGACGGCCAGAACCAAAACGCTCACTGTCAAAAGACCATCTTTCTCTTTGAGAAGAAGCAACAAGTTCAGAAAATGTGCGCAATGACCATCCATCAGAAGACCCACCAGCCAGATCGTTGCTATACGTTGAGAGCACAAATGATGGTCTTCCTTCTGAGACAGGATTACTATTTGGGGATTTCAAGCCCAGGATTCTACTATCTGAAATCTGCCTAAAGAGTTGATGTCCAGGCGAACGTCGAGCTCGTCTTGATGGGGTTGAACTGGCAGGAAGTAACTGACGATGTGAACACAAGTGCTCACCTGGTGTTGAGAAAGATGAACATGATGGCATGGAATATTGAAGGGCAACTGGAACAGCAGCAATTTCAGGCACTTCTATAGAGTTCATCTGTTAAAATAATGTGATTACCATGTCAAAACAGCAAAAAACAAGGAAATAACCTTGCACAATGGAACACACTATGATCTTCTTAGAACGGTAGTATGACTGCTAATGAACTCACCTTTGTAAAGTGGTTGTTGGTCATAGATGTCTCTGGAACATCAAAGACAAAATGCATATCAGCCAGAGCATAAGTAAGTTAAGTAAATCAACTACATACTCAAGATAGCTCATTGACTGACTATTGACAATCAAATAAAAAGTCTAGCTTTTGCCGGACCAGATATGGAGCATAATAATATCCAGAATCAAATATTCGGCAGCAAGGTCATAGGCTCTGCTTTAATGTCGATCACAAGACAAGTTTCCTCATAGCCACAAGAACAAAGGCGCAATTTACAGGACACGCCTTTGCAAGTCTAGAGAAAGGTCCTTCTGATAGAGACAAATTATGCCAACCAAATACTTTTGAAGCATAAACCTAAACTAGAAGACAAAGTGAATACAGCAAATGAACAGGGCATATTAAATTGAATGGTAGTGCTGAATTGCTGATATGTGATGAGATAAGTTGGAGAAAAAAGATATCGGGTAAACATAATAGCAAAACGTACAACATAAGGATATGAGAGGCACTAAAAGGTTTACCTGAAGGAGACAAGTAGTTTGTGCTGACCCCTTCATACGAGGGCGACTTTAGTGAGATGGGTGTACCAAGATTATCCAAAGGGCTACCACCGTCTGAAATCACTCCTCTCTCTGACCCTATTCCATCTTTCAATTCTATTCTAACATCTAAGTTTGTTCTATCACCAGACTGACATGAAGGGTTCTCATTTTCACCTGCCACACGTCGATAATTGTCCCATCGGAAACTCCAAGACGGAGAATATCTGGCTTGCCTATGAGATTCTCCATTTCCACTTCTGTTGGAAACAGTCGTATTCCTAGCAGCTACACAACAGGCTGAACCCATAGCCAGTCATATGCTACTAAAAAGACAATCTGTCACAGGAATGTCAAGCAAGAGATCTACCACTACTCCACTAGCATACCACTTCTTTCTGCAGAAATGAATAATCATTGAGGTTTATTTCAAAATAAATAAATAAAAATATAAAATAAAAGCATTGCAGCATATCACACCCTGTCTCTCTGCAAGTCTATCATAATCAGCCTCTCCAACAAGCAGTGGGGATTTTATGTCGTTGTAGTGTCCAATCAGAAGCAAATCAAGCAATTGAACTGTGAATAAATGAAACCTATCGGCTCAAAAAAAAATTAATAGAAACATAACCAAAGCGGGATAGAAGCAACAACATCATTAACTGTGGGCAAATGAAGAGCAAAAGGAGAGAAACAGTGGCTGATGATGTTATTAACATTGATATACATGAGGGCAACCTCAACTAAAGACAGTTCTGGCCCAATATTCAACACAAACCATAAGCCAAGTTAACCAACTAGCTTAAATGCAGAAGCAAAACTTCTTTTTCCCTGCTTGGCAGCACTAATTTGCAGAACCAAACAGCCATACTTGGATCATTAACCAAAAAATAATTTGCTTCCTTGTTAATAATGCAGCTGGGAAGGCAGCAGGCATTTGCATGATGAGTAATTAAAGCTATCATGCTTTATTAAGCTGGAAGTAAGCGGCTTACTATTTATGAGTTCTGACTGACTAGGAACACAAAATTAAAGACTAGGAAACAAAATAATGCTAAAATAACTAGATAGACTTTGGCAGTTATCTCTGAACTAGATACTCCCTCAGTTCATCTGTCCCTAGATAGGCCACAATTAAGAAATTGAGTTAAAATACCAAAAGTATCCTTCATAACGTAAATATTTACGCCTTAATCATGCAACAAGATAATCTTCCCTTTAGGTTATCATTAAGGGTAATATGTACAAGTTGTAAATAGAACAAACAAAATTCAGAACATTGACTATTTATGTATAACAATCCTAAACAGAGATCTGGTGGATTAGTAAGGGTCAGAGGGTATACAACAGAAGCAGCTTAAGTGAGATCCTGCAGAAGTTGGTAATAAGAAAGCAAAAAGAGAAATAATAAACTTTGGAAAAGCTAATGCATTCCCACTCAATATAAATAAACTACAACATGAGGCCTATCTAATAGGCTAAATAACACAGGAAAAACCCTATAACATTGCTATTAATGTTCTACTAACATGGAGAACTACTGGAGATGGTGGCTTAGTATCCCACAAAAATAGCCCACTACTCTTTGACTAAAAAAGGAAAAATGCTTAGTTAAATTAAAAACAATCATGACTCAATACCTAACTTTAAAAACAAGGAAACAATTAAACCACTGACAATGAACCACTAACAATTAATTTGAGATAAATAACTTAGCACAACCCCTTGCTTCAAATTTGTAAAATATATGTGAAGCACATCTCTTCAACTAAGATGCATATCTCATCTCATACAAATATTGTTCATGCACATTTTTACCAAACTCTAATCTTTGGAAAACTTCTCTCCTTCTGTGCACATTACCACCTGCCATTCAAGAACTTCCATGGCCACTTGTGCCACAATTTCTCTCTCATTATCAGAACCTACAATTCCTTACTATATACTAAAAATTTTGGCATTTAAAGAAATTTGGTTTTCCCTAATGCCAACAATCCTTTTCCTCATGGACCAATCTTTTGATAATTGTCAGTTGTTGCATTTCACTTTACTACCTTTCCCTTCCGAAAATGAAGATTAAGCTAGTTAATCCCTCAATTTTATCTCTATTTTTTTTTCCTCCTAGCCTAGTATTCAAACAAAGGACTTGTTCTCTTTTCGACGGCAGACCTCAAGTCCCTAAAGTGGAGTGGAGAAGTCATTGATCTCCTTTGGTCTACAACACTAAAGGCAATGACTAACTCTACTAGGGTTATTTTAGATAGATCTTTGAAGTCTTCAAATGAGAAACTTAATACTCATATTTTTCAAACGCTCACAAAAATCTTACCAACAACTCTCACATTATAAAATGTTTCATCAAGCAATCTAATTTGATTTTTTATCGCTTCACTATTCTTCATCCTATGCATCTCAAAGACTTAAACTCACATTTGAGGTTCAAAACTTCCATCAACTTTGTTTGAGCATTGCTCAGAAACTCTTCCTTTAACATTTCCGATGTCACCTTTGGTGACTCACAAGTCATGATAAAGATTCTGTTCGACACAACCAAAATACACTAAATGGCAATTTGCTTTTCTTGTCGCTTCTTCATCAAAGAGGGTTAGGCTAACATCACTCTCAAGTGCTTCCACAAACTCATAGCTTTCTAATATGAAATCCCATCAACTATTCTGGTTTAGTGCAATTACTGTAATCAACATCAATATCCCAACAAGGAAAAACACATGACTTCACCAAACAAGCTTGACCCTAACAATCCATTTAAGCCTAATTCCACCAAACATTAGTTCTAATTACTACCCTTAACCTCAAAACTTTCAGAATATCCCCAAAAACATCTCACTCATTTTATCCCACAAACATTCTAGTAATTCAAATCAAATCATCAACCAAACAAACCAATCACTAACAAAATCAGTTCAAATGAAACTCATCCACTCAAACTAACATCAAATTACACAAAACCCCAAAACAAATTCCTTCCAAAAATCAAAACTTTCAATACCCCTTATAAACAAACACAGAAATAAACACATTTTACATCAAAAAGTTAGGGTTTTTCCACGAATTCAACAATCAACAAAGAGAAAAAGACATAAAAATCGTACCTTTAACATTTAGGGTTGATTAACAAAGACCAAAACGCCGAATACAGGAAATTGAAGAGAGAGAACGTGGGGTTTTGTTTGGATGAAAGGGGAGAAATATTTCCCGGGGAGAAAGACGGAGTTTTTAGGAGAGAGAGAGAGAAAGAGGGGTGATGACTTTGGGAATTGTGCTTTTTGAGAGGGGAAGGTGGGGTCCATTTCACTTCTTTTTTACACTCTCTTTCTTCACTTTTTATTTATTTTAAAAATTATTTATTTGGGGTTGAGTTGGGTTGCTTTATTTTTAATTAATTTTGATTTATAAATAAGTAAAATATAAAAAGAAATGGAGTTTTTATGTGGTAATTAAAAAATGAAGGTTGTGGGTTTTTGTCATAGTGTCAGCTTTTGTCTATGAAAGAGAGTGGAGAAGACTGGAGGATGGAGATGCCTTTGTTTTTTTGGTTGTTTCGTCCTCTCTACGAGGAGTGAGCGACACGCGTTACCTCCCACTTTTAACCATTCATATATTGAATTATTGACTTATTTCGAAATGACCTAATTGGGTTAATTTTCCACACCATTTTTGCACTATCTCATTTGAGGTTCATAAAAATGGTCAAAAAAGAATAGTTGCAATAAAAATCATTAATATCTTTGTAGAGGTGATCATGGCCCATGTCGGGCTTTGACCAAAACAATTGACTCACTTCGGGTTGGAAAAGTTATGTCCAAACCAATTATTTCGGGTTAAAATTGGATTGAGTCGAGGTTTTTCAAGTTGTCAAAGTTCGAGTTTTTTTGGGTCGTGCTAGTGAGTAAAGCTTGGTTTAATTAGGTCTATATCTTTGTTTAAGCTTTATTTTAGAGATATCATTATTTCATTTATTTCAGAATAAAAACCCTATTTTAATTGGACATGTATGTCAATGTAGAAGTATGGCCAATAATCAATAAGTATAATCTATGAAGTTAATACTTGAAACCATACATTGAGATAATTTAACAAACATTCACAAAACTATTTTTTCTTAGGTATAAATCACTAGCATTGGTCAAAGTGAATTATGTGAATAGTTCAAAAAGCCAAAGTTGAGCATTTATTTTAAAGTGGAGGGAGTATAATATTTCTCAATTGCGGTCCCTAAGAAAGGTCCAAAACAATACTCATGGTTTGGATTATATTGAGCTACGATTTTACGTTTAAACCTACTTTTGATAATCTTTCTGTCACATTTTCATATTAAGATTCTTGATCCTTTTCGGATTCCACACTGTATTGTTCAAAATTAATAAAACTCTCCTTTGATCTTGTCGTGGACATATGATGAAAAATACTTTGTTTTTGACAAATAGTATGAAACAATGATAAAATTAAAATTGGATTGCATATTCTCAAATGTCAATTACCACTACTCCACTAGAGTATACATCCACAAATTGACTTTGTATTGTTTATGACTTTGAATATTCATATGAACATATCATTATTGGATAGGTCACAATCACAATGACTAGTATACAATGATTATCCTTTTACCATGTTGAACCTGTTTAACATCCACTAGTTTACAAAGGGTTGAAAATTCCTCCCAAATTCAACCAACTCAGTCCAAACCCTAAAAAATACAGCCCAAATAGGCCCATTAACCCAAATCAAAAGTGGGCCCAGCCCAATTTCTACAAAAATGTAGAAAATAGAAAAAGTGAAAAACCCTTCTCCAAGCAAATTCTCAGATTCTAGAAAAAAGCATTCCAAAAAAAAAAAAAAACAGGGTTCAAGTTTCTCTCTCTCGTTTCATCGGAGGATACTCGAAATAAATCCTCCGTTAAACTTGAGTAGAGATTTCTTCACATTCTTGTAAATTCTCAAATTTCGACAAAATGCAAGGTAAATTCTTTATGTTTTTGCATTTTTTTTATTTGTTTCTTTAATGTTTTCTTCTTGAAATTTATCTTAGAATCCATTGTTTTTTGATGTTATGAAAGAAACAAGTTATTTTTGTCGATGTAATTATTTGTATAAGTCTTTATTTTTGTATTACGATTATTTTTTCCAAGGGTTACTTTTATGATAAACATCTTATTCTATGGAAAAATTTGTTATTAATGTATGAATTAAGATTTCTGGTACATTTGTGTGTAATTATTGTAGATTTTCATTTTGATATGGTCTGCATAATACCCATTTATATTTTGAATAGAAAAAAAAAAAAATATATATATATATATATGCTTTTAGGTTTTTGCATATTTTGCACTTGATTAGAATTCTCTTTTAGTCCTTAGAACTTGTATGACAGTTATGGTTAGTTTTGGAAATGGGAACCTTAATCTTGATTGTTTATCAAGAAGATAAACTCCAAAGCCTTTATGGAGTGTCGAGTTTTCGTCTTTGTAGGATATACTTCTATAATATTCATCAAAATGTATATAGAATCACTATATGTGATTGGAAGATATGTTGCAGGAGGAAGGTTTTTGTGGATGACTATACCGAATAATCACTTTAATTCATGTAGCCGACCCCACTTAAGGGATTAAGGCTTTGATTGATTGATTGATTGATTTTTGAAAATTGGATGATACATTGTTTGAAAAGTGTGTTAGGATAATGTTCCTTCTGTTGTTTGTTTGATAATATGAGTGTTCAACTTTTCATACAGTATAAATTTGGCAGTTTGATGGTACTATGATTTATGAATAAGATTTTTGTCTGTTAACTTGGAAGATTGTAAATTAGTACCCTCAGCACGTCTCTAAATGATGTTTCTACTCTAAAAGGAGGACTATAAATTGATTATTGTAATTTGAATTCCTCTGTATTGAGCTTCCCATCATGTTTTCTTACTTTGTTTTTAATGCTCTAATCGCAGGTGTCATAGCACAGCCATGCTTCTATGCACCAGCAGTTCTTAATTACCGATATAGGAAGCCTATTCGTCGTGATCATGTAGAGGTGAGCCAGCTTGTTCGTCGTGATCATGTAGAGGTTTCAAGATTGAAAATGAAGGGTGAGCAATTACATGCTGTCTAAGCATATTTTTGTTTCTTGTATATTTATGTTACATTCATAGCAGTATATTTTGTGAAGCAATTTTTAGGCTGTACCTGAAGCTAACATTAGAGCAATCAAAACCCATCTCACTACCCCAACACTATCTTGAAAACAGTATAACTATATCGAAAGAATTGGTCATGATATTTTCCACTTGATGCTTATTAAAAGATGGTGATGATAATTGAGTTTTGTTTTCATTCAACTGAAATTGTTATTGTTTTCATTCAATTCTTCTACTAAAAAGAAGTTACTGATTGATGAACTGAATTCTTTCAGCTTGCCCTTTGCGCGTTGCTGCTTTCTCAGCACCATTAGCAATCAACAAGCAATTAAATGATGATAGCCATTTGCACAATCTCTCATTTTCACCTTTGAAAAGAGGCTCCTATCTTCCAAGGGCATCAAAGGGCACACTCTTCAGTCTCCCACCATACCCGAAAATGTCAGAGAAACCAAAATGGTGGTGGAGATCTTTGGCATGTTTGCCATATCTGATGAACTTCCTAGACCAGCTCACTTGGGTCTATGCTCACCCTACCAATAACCCTCCACCATTCCTCGAAAACTTTGATAACTTAGTATTCCCATTGCACAGCTCCCTCTTAGCACTCCCCAAGTTTTTCCTGTCATGTTACCCTATCATGTTTTACTTCTGGATTGTAAGGCGGAAAGAGTGGCCTCATTTCTTCAGGTTTCATGTTATTACAGCAGTATTGCTAGGGAGTTTGGTGCAGGCGATTGGGATATCAAGCAGTTGGTTTCCCTCGCGGTTCTTCCCTCCACATTTTTGGTCTGCTGCCACTTTTTTCTTTTTGGTTACAGTGTTGGAGAGCATGAGATGTGCTCTTGCTGGTGAATATTCCAGTATCCCTTTTGTGAAAGACGCTGCTCTTCTCCATTCAGACCTGAACATCAGATGATAGCTTCAAATTTTAATCTGAACTGTTTGTCTGTTTGGATACATCTCTGACGTTATCAGCAGACTACAAGTAAGGCCTTGGAAGGAAGGACTTCATTCAGCTTAGACATGATGAGTGTTCCATATAAACGGCGTATCCATTACACTACATCTGTTAGGATCCAGACTACTCACGAAGCAGTAGATAACGAACAGGAAGTGTTATTACGATCAAAATATAGTTTACATTTCAACATATTCAATTTGTATCGAAGTTCACTCTGAAATTCTTAATCATAGGGAATTCATATTAGCAGTGATTGCATTCTATAGTGTTACTTAAAGTTTGAAGGGATCCTTTGAACAGCAAAGTTTCATAATACAGTATAACCTGCATAATTGAAAGTTATCATGTTGTATAGTATCATTCTTAATTTTTTTTTTTTTTCCCTAAAGTATTAAATTTTATGATATGAGAATTTCCTTGAACTTGACTCAGAGACAGCAGGGGAATGCAGAGTATCTCAATTTTGTTTTGAATTAAAGAATCATAGAACAGGAGCTTCTTTCGAAGCATTAGCTATATGAATAGCTTAAACATCACAAGATAAACGGTTATTTCTTGTGATACTATTTGATATTGATATCAATACTCATCTTCTATTATTAGGGGCCTAGACGTTGTAACAATTATTTCCGGACAGATGGGGTATACACATCGGATGTATTATACACAGTAAACAAAAATTCGGAGTGCCTTGTTGTATTAGATGAAAACACTTCACCCTAGTCAAGCATCACAATTTTTGTTAATTTAAACAACCAATGCAATTAGACTACCGTGTTAAAAATCCTATCAATAATACTTTTCTTTATAATGAGCAAGTAGCCAATTGATCTAGGAAGAATCAACTATCAAATGCCCTTTTTCATTCATTTGATGGTGTTAATCTATTAGCCATTTACGTGACTGCATTTACATAATCTTTCCTCATTAATCTTCAGCTTTTTGTCATAACAATTAACAATCATCAGTAAATCAATTCTGGTCACCTGAAAATTTCCAGTGAGTTGTATGCAAGGTCGCGTACCAGATAGCAGTTATCACGTACTTTGGACTCATTTACTAATTGAACAAGTTTCAAAGGTTACGTTAAGGGCTCATTTGTCATCGTCTATGTAGTGATTTTCTTCCCCAAGTTTCAAAACATACACGGATACACCCCTGTGTGGACATACACTTACTTTATTGGCTTCATCATCAATGCATATAGTTCCGTACTACCATCCTACTTGTACGACTAAGTGATCAAAGACTTCCTATAAACTTTATTGACCATTTTCTTCACCCCAAAAAAAAAAAAAAAAAAAAAAAAAAAAAAAAAAAAAAAAAAAAAAACTAGACTTCACTAATAAGTATTCCTTTTTCTCCAACTTTGGTAATTTATGATTTTTTTCCTTTTATATAGTACGTGTGTATGTGCCTTAAACTCGACATATTTTTTAAAAATTACAACCATAATTTTACTAAAACAATTTTTTAATAATTGTATCATTTTCGACATGGAAACATTTCTAAAAGAGAAATGATAAATACAAATAAAGATAGATCGATAGGGTAACCATGATGATAACTAGTACGGAATATTGACTAAGACAATACTAAAAAAATATAACTTTAAGAGACCATATATCTTTACATACTCTAATTTTTGTCCAAAGTTTAACTCTAGGTATAAGTTAATTGTTAACTTGGTCTTCATCGAGTCATAGTAATAATATATCACGTCATTTTAACTATGATGCAAGCGTAAATTTATTCAATGTACAAGAATTGACTGTTTTATTTATTATTTCTTCAAATTTCATGTTGATGCATTCAAATTAATGTTTGTATTAATGAAAGGACATCATATAAAACTAATGAGATTTATGTAATATGTAATAAAATGTTGAAAATTGTATGTCATCACAAAATTGTCCAACCAAAATACAAGTACGGAGTAATTAATAAGAATTTAAGTACGTACTTAACTTTTTCCTTAATTTAAGTTAAAAGTTCCTGTTCAAAGTGGTGTGAACTGTGGTTATAAGTCTTATAATCCTTTACAAAAGCTAAAACATGTACTAAAAGTAATAAATAAACTCGAAACTTTGTAAGTGTTAGGTCAGGCATCAAGTAAAACTTTTTCCTTTAAAATATTTATTTAAAATTTTGATAAACCAATTAAGGGTCTGTTCTCTTACGTTGAAATTCAGTTCAGTTCAGTTCAGTTCAGCTCAGTTCAGTTCAGTTCAGCTCCTAATTTCCTTCATTTATAAAATATTCATTTCAGTTCAGTTCAGTTCAGCTCCCTTCAGTTCAGTTCAGTTCAGTTCAGTTCAGTCAATGAGAACAGGCCCTAAGTTGTCGCAAAATCGAAGGAGTCTGAGCATAAAATCTCAATGAACAAAGCTCTAATAAACCTACAACCAATTGACAAGTTCATTATAATTATGCTTGTAAGTTAGGGTTTGTTCTCATTGACTGAACTCAGCTGAACTAAACTGAAATAAATATTTTATAAGAGAAGGAAATTAGGAGCTGAACTGAACTGATGAGATGAGCTGAACTGAAAATAAACGTATGACTGTAGGGGTATGCAAAAAAACTGTAACCGTTTACCGTAACCGTTAACCGGTGTAACCGGCTCATTTAAACGGTTAATTTACTGAACCGTTTAAATTAAACGGTTACGGTTAACCGTACCGCTAAATATAGCGGTTAACGGTTACGGTTACAAGTTTTAGTAAATCGGTTAACCGTTAAAATAAATAAATATATTTTTTTTTTGAATTAGTGTACAAATCAATTTGGGGAAATTGGGTACGAATTAAAAAAAACTTAGTATGAATTAAAACTTTGTAATGTATTTGGTTTATGGATTTGTAATCTTAATTAGAACATGAATTTTATTGTTTATTACTTTATTTTTAAGTTTGTATTAGAGTTGGATGTTTGGAACTATTGGAAGTCATGCGGGGTTTAAAATTTATTAAACGGTTAATGGTTAACCTGTAACCGTACCCGTTAAGGAACGATTAACCGCTAGCGGTTAACCGTTCTTTAACGGTACAGTTACGGTTCGAAATTTTAAGTAACCGACATAACAGTTAACCGTACCGTTTAAGCTAAACGGTACGGTTAACCTATTGTGCACAACCCTACTTATGAGAACATGCCCTTAGTCCTCCTTTATGTTACTCCGTATTTTTCAACATAGGATATTTTTCTTACCTTACGTAAGTGTTTTTCATAATTTCTTTATTTTTTGGCTTGTGCAATAAAACTCGCAAGTTATAGTCTACTATCTTTTCTTAGTGAAAAAAGTGGATTAGCTAACCTCCTGGCGTATGACAATAATGTAACACTACTTAACTATAATCTACATTTTAATTAATCGATATTTGAATTTGGAAATTATGTTGCTTTCAACAAACAATATTAAGAAATTAAAATTTGCGTTCTTGATCATCATCATTTCTTTTACTAGCATCTTTGTACAAAAGTCCAAGTAATCGCTTCTTTTTCAGTTTTTTTTACTCTTTGTAAAAGCACTTTTTTTCATTGGATCATGAAAGCAAGTTTTTGTATTAACTATTTAACTTCTTAATCAAGAAAATTAAAGGCTTGTGGGCTTCACTAATGATAGTTCAAGTCTAATTCAATTATTTCAAAGGACTAATGTACTTTACATTCGTTTAATTTGTTTCTAATAATAAGCTCCCACATGATTTTTCATATCCTAACCTAAAAGTGTTATTTAGAAATGAAGAGGATAATTAAAACGACTATTATAAGATTTATAACGATCTAATTGACTTGAGTGTTAGTTTTTGGTGAATACATTGAAATTGTTCGCATAATTTTGCAAAAAAAAAAAAAAAAAAAAAAAAAAAAAAAAAAAAAAAAAAAAAAAATAAATAAAAAAAAAAATCTTCAATACATAATATTAGATCCATATTTTTATTACTTCTAAAGGTCGAGGCAAGAGGTCATGCATATTCTGAAGCTTAATCAGTTCGACTAGAATCATTGCGGTCTTCTAAACAAAAAATCAATCAAATAGTTAATCTAACAATTAATCTAATAATTCATTAATACGGACGTTCTTATTAGAAAGTTGATTGACAAAACAATTAATCTGCTTTATTTTTTTAAGTCCTTTAATTTGAACTTTCCAACTAATTAGTCACATGATGAACATCTTGTGGACTAGCTGCAATTCATCAACGACAATATATCGAACATGATATTACGTAGTATGCCCCTCATTAATGTCACAAATCACTGCACTATTAATAATTACCTCAATGTTTCAATTCGTACTACCACAATAATGTACATCAAATCATTAATTAAAATCTCTATAAATTTTTTAAAAAAAATTGCAAATTTTCTCTACATTTCGATTTAACTAAAATTGTAATACGATATTAGATCACAGCCATAAATTTATTAGTGTTCAAATAATACAATATCATAATTTAAGAAACGCATAAAAATAATGTATTATGATACTTTTAGATCAAATTTTGTTGACTAAAATTACTTTATATAATTACGAATCAGGGAATAATGGATACTTTAATACGGAGTAACTAATTAAACTTCCAACAATATTTTTTTTAATAAACTTCCAACAATATATATATTCTATAGTTAAATGCCTAAATTAAGCAACGAAAGGACAATGTCTTCTTAGAAACTGGCTGGCCATGTGCTTTCCATAATCTCCAATAATATTATTGGCATGGTTTTTGATTGGTTTTTCCTGAACTGTAATATAATCTAATCAAATTCAATTAATTTGTCATTTAATTCTTCTTTTTCTCCTTTCTAACATGCGATCACCGGCCAATCAAATCCAAATTATCAATTGATAAAGTTTCATATGATTCATACCATCTCATATCATATGATAGTATGCATGTAGTAGTAGTAGTGTACTTGTCCTTCCATTATTATTAAATTCTTCGGTCGTCTCCCTCCTTACCAATTCTTTCTATTCTGTAACATTAAAATGACATCATTATAAGGAAAACACGACATATCACATATGTTAAGAAGAATTGAAGAAATGAATTACTTTCGTAATGATCAATTGAGGAGAAAGCGAGATGGAAAGTCATCATAAGATTCATAACTTTATCGAAACTTAAATGTTGCACTTAATTTGCGCTACAGAACTAATAAAGGAAGAAAAAACATCAAATTTGTACAAGGTTTTCAAAAAAAAACAAAAAATCAAATATGTACGAAGTACTTTGAAGAAACATACACAAATTAATTTATTTATTTTTAAAAAAAATGCTTTGTACATACTATACTATGTACTAATAATACAGTACTTGTAATTTTTTCGGTTTTGTATTTGGTGGCGTAAAAGGTAAAACCATGACGTGAAGATAATTACAAAAGAAAGGGTGTCACCTGGCAATATAATGTATGTACAAGCGTCAACAAATAACTAGACAATTACATGCACAATGACAATTAATGATTCATACAATAATACAATTTTAAGGTTCTCCCAACCAAGGTTCACCCACTAGCACAATACCCTAATTAAAACGCTTTACTTAATTTTGAAGCTAATCAATGGAAATTCTTAAATATGGGAAAAGACTCAAATTGCACCCGTAAAAATAAAATTGCTACGTTTCCTCTATCTTCAAGTGGGCTAATTTCTTCAATTTTGGCCAACTTTAAGCATACGACATCATCTTTTTGTTGTCTATACAAAGTAGACGACATTAATCTATTTTTAATTGTGTTTTGTGATTTGTGAACTCATCAAACTCAACAATAATATTATTTGCTCTCTTATTTGTCTTCAGTCTAGAAACAACTAATATATTGTACGACGTTAACATACAAACTAACCCATCTAAATTGATTGTATTGTTGTCAAGCATCCAATTTTGACAGATTATCTATTTTGGATTAATCATCACTAACCAATAAGTTTTATGCGGCAACTTGATACGGTGTGAAAATTGATGAATGCCCTCGCTCTTAAGTTTTAGCTTCCATTAATTTATTACAAAATCGTAACGTCATTATACATATTTTTGGTGTAAAGAGGGTCATAAAGCACAAATGATGTAGACGAAAAAATGTTACTCATATGATTTTTAAGATTGATTGTCCTTGGATAATTTTTAAATTGGTGATAAGTTCTTAAGCTATGTTGGTTTTTTGTTTAATATGTTGCCTTATCAAGAGTTGTGAAAGGTGTTCAAACCACTTATTATTACTAATATAGTCTTGTTCATAAATAAACTATTATATATTGCTAGAATGAGCTAACTGATTCTTTTGTCATGATTTTAGTGGTGCTTCCCCTACTTAATTAGCTTGTATTTAATTGAATAAATCTTTATTGCCAAAAGAAGGCTACAAAAGCCAGGCAAACCACTTGTATCAAGAATGTACAAATTTATAGCAGAATTTCTTTGTAAAAGAAGGAGAAGTACTGTACTAAATCAACACCTTTTACTAGTCAATTCAGTATATGGAGTATTAGTAACTTTATTTATAGATCAAATTTACTGGGAGTGAAAGGATCAGTTAAAATGTTCCTTCCCTACTCAAACAAGTTCTAGTAGGATTTAAGGCCTATTTTGATTTGCTGAACTAAACTAAACTGATTGGTTGGAGATGAACTGAACTATTTATGAGAGAAGGAAACTAGGAACTGAACTGAATTGAAATTAAGCTGAACTGAACTGAACTAAATTGAAATTAAGCTGAACGTACAGAACAGACTCTTAATCTCATGACATTAATTTTAAATCTTGAGACTCAAAACATGGTGAACTTGAATAAAAATTCTGAATATATATATAACAAAATCGAAAGTGAAGGAATGCTATGAAGTAGAAATAGTGCCCTTAAAAGAGTAAAGGATAGCTAATTATAATGTACTGTACTTGTAACAATTATACATGTGAGAAAAATGGAAAGGTTATACATTCATGCTAAAAAACATTTGATTCAATATTTAAGGAAGTAATTTTGATGATTGATTAGCATTTAATAATTATGTTGTATGTAATAAATACAAACCTGTCAAAAATTATGGGCGGTGCTGCAGTTGATCGATCAGTATTCATTTATCAATATTTATAAATTAAGAGGAGACAATTTTTTTGGAAAATATTGGCCTGATTGATACTCTATATCATGGTACATTGAACTTAACAAGTCAAACTTACACTAGTGGACGACAAGAATATCCTGTAAAAAAATATTTTCTAATGGTTTTATTTATTTCTTTTAAATTTTAAAAAAAAATTAAAAAAATAAACAATACTTTTATTAAATAAAGAAGAAGAACAAGCCAAATAAATTCTTCTAAAAAAATGCAAACCACACAAATTATAAAAAAATTACGGAGTACAAATCAAGTGCATTAACCCAAAAAAGTACGTACACTCGATCAAGTCACTCAGTGTGATTGTGCATTTGCGCTTTATTGACGCTTTTTATTTTTAATTAAATATTTATCTAACCTAATACTGTATTATTTTATCTTAACCTATTAAGATAAAAGTTTTGTAGCTCATATCAGTCATATAAGATATAATTGGGACGAGTATATACTGTATAGTGCTTAATACTTTCCATTTTTCATTGATAAAATAGAGCTATTTAAGTGATTTGCATGCATGGATCATTTCGTTATACATAAAGTTTGGTTAAAAAGGTTATGAATTATATTGAATAAACTCCACGCACCATCTTCAAAAGGGTGTATCGTGTTAGTATAAGCACTCTTTTACTAGGTTATAGTTTGATACCTATCTTCTTCTTCGGGTATGATTTGTAAAATAGAGTTCATTGGTTGTGTTAAACAATGTATGTCGTATTCAAAACTACCTAAATTTTAATAATGATAACATACAATGAGTTCATCGATTAGGTAAAGTTTAATTTAGATTTGTTCAATGTCGGGTTTAATTTGGATGATCTCTTGTTAACTACAGTTAGAATTGTATTATTATCAAGTTTGACATGGATCACAATTCTTATATAAATAATGGGGTTAAAAAAAGTTATGAACGATTGAAAGGACTTCTCCCAAAATTTATTGTTATTACCCCCTCTTGATTTACATAGGAGTAGTGTAGTTAACTACGATCTATGCAAAGATCCTTGTATAATGATTTATTAGGGCCTGTTCTCTTTGGATTATTTTCAGTTCAACTCCAATAAATTCAGTTTAATTTCGTTCAGCTCAGTTCAGTCAATCAGAATAGACCCTTAGATCCAAATTCCACAAAAAAAGGACATTTGCATTTGAAAGCACAATTCTATCAATTACTTGCCATCTTCGTTGATTTCAGCTGGAGTAAATGAATAATTGCAGCATTTTTTTCAATGTACTAATGCTTCATGGCCTGGATTTTAGCTTCTATTTCCGACCCTTTTTCTTTAATTCAATTTAGTTTTTTGTTTTTTTTATGTTTTGGTTTATTTGTTTTGTTTTGTTCTCTCCATCTGTGAGAGTCTGTCCCAATTTTCTGGGTTTTTCCCAATTTTCTGAGATTTTGATTCTCATCTATGGATGAGAATTTTTTATTTTTAGGGTTCTTATAATAATTGGGAAGGTGATTTGGATTCCTATGGGTCTGGGATTTGTCATCAACCAATCGATCAAAACATCAGCGCAGATTGCGGAAGTCTCAACTTGGAAAGATGCAAAGACATCGAAAATCATTGCTCGCGTCAAGCTTGAAGCGGTGGAGTATGAGCTATGCCAAATATGCAAATTAGTTATGATTTTGATTGTAAAAGTTATGATATTTTCTCTAAATCTGTGGTTTACAGATCATTATTATTGTAGATGCCATATGGCTTTTATTTAATGATATTATTCTTCCCGTTCAAAAAAAAAATGTTAAAATTGTTTCCTGTTTTTTTTCTTTTTCATAACGAACCAATGGTTATGTACTTATGTTAGATTGTATAGCTAGAGCCTAGAGTAAGGCCAATTGACCAGATTGGTAAATAAAAAAGGCCCTTAGCGACAATTTGGTAAAAAAAAATAATTCCGACGACAATTTGGTAAAAAAATTAACTCTAAGCGACAAATTGGTAAATAAAATAATCACAGGCGACAATTAACCCAAAAAATACAAAAATTTCTGACAAGTACTCCCGAATGCTTAATTAAGTTCGTTTTTCGCGGTTTTTTTATCAACCCTTTTAATGGAAATAACAATTTCAAGAAAAAAAATTGTTGAAATATCAATTTCACTTAAATTTCATACCCCTTATTAACGAAATTCTTTTAAAAAGGGGTTGAAAATAAATTTGGTATTGGGATTTAGCAAAATAAAAAGGGGATGGCATAGTAATTCAAAATCTTAAATGGGATAAATAAATTTTAAAACACAAAAAAAAATTAAATTAAGATTTTTAAAGAGTGTCGACAAAATAACATTTTTTGGGCTAAATGTCGCCGGAGTTAATTGTTTTTACCAAATTGTCGCATATAGTTAGCTTTTTTTTACCAAATTATCGCCGGAATAAGTTTTTTTTTACCAATTTGTCACTAAGGATCTTTTTTATTTACCAATCTGGTCGATTGGCCCCTAGAGTAATTGACCGTGTCCTTGTACAAGTTACTCCTTACACACACACACTTAAAGCCAAAAGAAGAAGGTACGGTTAATTTGTTTGGACTGATTGAGGCAAAGCCGGTGTCATTATCTCCCTAAAATAAAATGCCAATGCAAAAATATAAATGAAAATTAAATATTTGGATATCAAAACACATGAAAATCACATACTTTGGTGGTATCAAATTCACTCCTCACTTTAACTAGCGTTAATATTTGGAAATACTCCGTACCTTTTATAACTAGACTAGAATCAATTACCACACGCTTTAATTTTAATTTGAAAACAATGTTTTTGAATATTTGCGCTAAACCCTTTCTTTGCCTATAAGAAATGAATCTGTCTCATTGTCTAATGAATAGGCAACTACGAGTACTATAAACCAATATTGCCCTAAATTCATGTCTAACTATGGTTTATTAGTTAACGGTAATTAAAATCATTTCATCCACTATTAATTACCTAACATAATACACAATAAAACACCGGTATAACAAATACACCTGGAATAATTGAGAGTAAAGACAAAGGATATGCGACTTTTGAGGTAAAGCTAAACATCAAATAATTAGGTAAGCAACAACAAAAGCTTAAACAAAGCAACATGATTAAGGTCGCTAATATGATCAATAATATAAAAATCTTAAGATTCCAAATTACATCATCAATATCATCATCCCCATTGATTGCCCTAGCCTAAAGCTATAATGGAAATCAATTCTTACATCACAAAGTTTTACTCATGTAAACCTCGTCAAAAAAGGCTTCCAAGGTAAAATTTACATTCAACAACTTAAATACATCATTCTAGAACACCATAGAGCCGTCATTTGCACGTGAATATCCTTTTAAACAACAAATTCTTCCATCATAAAATGGACCACCTACCCCTTGTAGTGTCACTTGATGATATATTGATGATACTAATTATAAAGATTTAAAAGAAAAAATGGAATTAGCCCTCCACTTAATTATATCATACCCTCGCGGAACTTGATTTGCAATAATAACCCGCGCCTAATTTTTATCTCCAACAAATACTAAAAAAAAAATCTAAAAATAATGAGAGAGCTTTTTTTATTTATGTTTTTTTTTTAGAGTTTTTTTTAGTATTGGAGGACATCGGCTGAAGCCATGATAGGTTGGTTGAGATAACCCAAGTTCCATGGATTATTAGCACCAATAATAACATTGTTAGTATTATGAGTAAAATTACCATAATACCCATTGATAACACCAAAATCACCCAAATCATCATGGCTAAAAATGTCCAAAGAATCATCCTCAAAGGCGGTGTTTCCGTTACCGTTACCGTGACCGTTACCGTTAACCCCAGTAGTAAGGGTATTCATGTAATTGAGGATATCATTGAGGGATTGAAGTCTTTGGTTAAGCTCATTCATTTGAGCTTTTAAAACAGAGTTTTCAGCCTCAACATTAACAAATTGTTGAGTTGTGAGATTTGTAGTTTGAAGAATCTGATTGTTTCCTCTCTTTAATTGATCAACTTGGACCATCAGATCTTCAATATGCTTCTGTTTTCTCATTCTTGATCTTCTTGCTGATTCTCTGTTTGATGCCATTCTCTTCCTTTTCCTCTCATCCATCATTTGCTGTAAATCTCCTTCAGATCCTGAGTTCTGAATCTGACTGCTCGTCGCCGAATTGTTGCTCGAACTTGCCATTTTTTTTAATCACAATTAAAAGATGGGATTTTTTTTTTTTTGGTAATCTATGAATCTATACAATTTAGCAGGACGCAGGACCCAGATGAAGAAATTTTGAAAAAAATAATAAAAATAATAATAATAATAATAATAATAATAATAAAAGGGTTTTTTTTTTGTTTGGTTTTATGAAATTATAACTAAATATAAAAGATTAAAATCAAGCTAATTGAGAGGCTAATTTATGAGAAAACATAGAACCAGTAAAGAAATACAACAGAGAAAGATTGAACTAAGTGGGTCCTGCGCCTTAAAGAGGAATTTATCATAAACCCAGAACGAAGAATTTCACTAAGAACTGGAGACATTAATATCATACATTAAAAACCCAGATTTTTCTTTAGCACAAACTGCAAATTAGAGGAAATAAAACAGAGTTTCAGATCTCAAGAACAATAAAGATTGGATCTTCATGCAAATAACAAGAAAAGATTGGATTTTTATAAAGGGGTTTCTCTTTCAAGAGAAAAAAGCTCGGATTTTTGGACTTTAATTAAGCCAAAAACAGAGCAGAAACAGGGGAACAGAAACTAGGGGCTTTAGGAAGAATCTAGAGAGAGAAAGAAGAGAGAGAGAAATGTAGAAAGAAAACCAGAAATCTAGAAGTAGGAGGAAGAAGAAAGGAGGAAGAGGTTTTTGATATTATTGAGGGGAGAATATATAGAACAGAGGTAGGCTTGAAATTCAGAGAAATGACAAGAAAAATAAAGCTAAAATATAAAGTTTAGATTTTTTTATTTGGGGCTTTTGAAGAAAAAAATAAAAAATAATTAGTGGCATGTGATTTTTTTAAGGGAAATTTCCACAACCGTTCCCAAATCCAGCTGGTTTGCAAAAGGAAACAGAAAATGTTTAATACAGTACTGTAGTAAAACAGCAAATAAAAATGGTAACTTTTTCAACTTCAGATCTTTTTAGTTAAAATTCTTATGTCAGACATGTGTACTAGTAGTAATATAATGTTGTTTATATTTAAATTTATTTTTGTTTAAAAAAAAATTACCAGTATTGAATTTTTAAGAGTATATTGTTCTATAAAAGTAATGAATTAATTTAAAGAATAACGAAAATTTATTTCATTGAATTATATTGTAGATTCACCAAACTCATTATAATATGAGTATCCGTATATTTGTAATTGGGGTGTTTAACATATATAATTTGAGATCAACTGACATCCCATGTGGTTTCAAATCTTTGCAAAGTATTCATTGTTATAAAATTTGATTAGTTAATTAAATAAGAGGTTTTATGTAATATGGAATATTTAAATGCAATATGTAATTTTGAATTCAAGAAAATTGGCAATGCAAGAGTTTATATTAACTTCATGTCGACGACAATGGCCTATGGCCATATACATAAATCTATTGCTTGTAAAGTTCCCTTTGAATGAAGAAAAATTTACTACAGAGTATTACGCGTGGCTTGATTAACTTACAAATATAGAATATGATAGGTGAATCCTAAGGTAATAAATATTTATATTTCTCTATCAATCTCTAAGGAAAATTCAAATGTAGGTTGTTATATGATAATCAATCTATACACTAAAAAAAAAAAAATTTGTTAACAATCAAAATCATATATAATTAATGAAAATCAATTTAAATTAATACCTATTATGAAGTAAATAAATTTTACTTTAGTAAGTAGCTTTAAACTCGATTTAGATCGATAAAATACTTGAATCCACAAACATGATCAAAGGTCTAGTAAATAAATCAGGTGAAATGAATAAATATTAAGCTCATGTACAATCAAATCATTTTTAAATGCATCAGACTCATTGACTCATTTGAGGGTGAATCTAAGTTAAATTCATCAAATGAGTCCAATAAATTTGATTCTTAAATCTCAAAGACATGATATATGATAATAAAGCGATGACACTACTCCACCATATTAGTCACATCACACATGCATTCAAACAATATACATCCACATAAATTTAGATAAACTCTAATTAATTAAGCAATTGCTTAAAAAAAACTCCGCAAGAAGAAATGAATAATAAACCTTTGGCACTGGGTACTTGTAGCCTTTAATGGCTAAAAATAATTTTCTTGACCCTCAAAAAATTATTGGTATTGGCGTTTAGCCACGCCTTTGACACCAAAAAAAAAAAAAAAAAAAAAAAAAAAAAAAAAAACGGTGGTGATGAAAGTGTGATATTTAACAGTGTGAAAGATTCAGTGTCAATCACCTGAATTTCACCGCCCCAAATAAAATTGTTTGGTTAATTTTACCGTTACAATTCAGTTGGACCCGCCTCGCTACTTGTTCTAACACTTTTGACACACTTGCCACTTTTTGATCGCTGGTTGGTGGAGCCTAACTCCATGTTTTTTCAGGGGCTCAGCTCCTATTTCACCAACTTTACAAGCCTATTTTTGACTTTCCATAAATTAATAACTAACCAATAACCATTTCAACAAATGTCATGTACTTTTTCATACATTTCAACATTTATAATCGTATTAATAATGAGAAAATACAAGTTGATCATCTCAATGAATAAAAATAATATGATTAATAAGAATAAATTCTCATTATTAATACGAGATATAATTACAAAAATGACATGTTGATTGGATTTTTTTTTTTTATTACGAAAATGGCGTGGTGAAAATGGGGGGTTCCTCATTAATAATATCTTCCTCGAATGAGAAATGTTGTCGTATAACTATGATTATAAAGTATTTCCGATTTACTTACAAGTTACTCCATATAGGGCATGCCAAAAAAAAAAAGGTTTGATTGTTCCATATTGTATGTGTCGTATATTGAACCGTAAAAAGTGCCCTTAAAAAGTGCCTTTATATCAATAATACAAAAAAATAATCAACAAGATTTTGACTTGATCGTTAAGAATGAGGCTTTAATTTGTATGATAGGTTGCAGGCTTGCCGCCTTGCAATAGTCACAACTTCTAGTTTTTCTACCCCCATATGGTCATATGTAATGCTAAGTACGTAAATATATTTCCTTTGTAGCTCATTTAAACCAAAAAAATAAAAATAAAATAAAATCTGCACAAAAATATTTGAGCAAGATTTTGCTCATTCCCCCCAACAAAATAAGTTTTTTAAAAAAAAGCAAGTTCATGTGCTTCTTTCCAACATTGCCCATGCCCCTCAATCTACTAAAATCAATAATCCATGTATCAAAATGTTCATTCCTACTTTTGGCCATGTTGGTTGTCTAAGCTATATACAAAATTGGCAAAAATTGATGCACATTTTGAAGCTCCGCAAAGGCCGCAATTACCAACTTCGATTCACTTTTCTGATTTACCATTCCACCCTCAGAAAAATAATAATTGCCTTATTATTTGGTGATTAGGGATGTCAGTGGGGGCGGGTCAACTAGGAGACCCGCCCCATCCCCGCCCCAATGGGGCAGGGATGGGTCTTGATTTGGTGGGTGGGTGGGTGGTGGGGCGGGGATGGGGATAAAAATCATACCCGCCATGGGTGATGGGGCGGGGTGGATTTTACATTGTACCCGCCCCACTTCGTACCCGCCTTATCCCCACCTCACACCAACATCTATATATTTTTATAAAACAAAATTATATACTTTTATACTATTTTATATATATAAAAAAAATATGTAAAATAAAATAATAGATATAATAATTTGTAATACACTAATTTTATAACTAAAAAAGTGTGTAATATTAATAATAATTTTATTTGTTGTAATTTATACGTTGTATTAAATATGTCGGATTGTGTATTGGGAGGTGGGTTTTAGGTGGGGATTAGGCGGGTCTTAGGTGGGGATGAATATCCAAGTGGGGGTGGGGCGAGGATGGTTTTGGAATTGTACCCGCCGGGGCGGGGATGGGGATGAACTTTGGACCCGCCGCGGGGATGGGGATGGGGATGGGGATGAAAATTTTAGGTGGGGATGGGGATGGGAAGGCCAACATCCGCCCCGACCCGCCCCATTGACATCCCTAGTGATTCATTACATTTTATTATTATTTTTTAATAGAAATATATTATGGCGAGATTTCCCAACTTCAAAGTCCCCAAATCAAATGAAATTATGAAAAAATGAAAGCTACAAAATGATAATCAACATAACATAATTCTTATAAAGTATTGAGATTTAGGGCCTATCTCTTCCGTTGAAATTCAGTTCAATTCAGTTCAGTTTAGTTCAGTTCAGTTCAGCTCAGTTCAGTTCAGCTCAGTTCAGTTCAGTTCAGCTCTTAATTTACGTCTAATGATATTGCTAATGATATAAAGCCAAATTTCATTCTTTTAAGCTCTTAATACAACGACGATGACGACAACAACAACAACAACAACAACAACAACAACAACAACAATAATAATAATAATAATAATAATAATAATAATCAATAAGTAATAAATAATAATAATAATAATAATAATAATAATCAATAAGTAATAAATAATAATAATAATAATAATAATAATAATAATCAATAAATAATAATAATAATAATAATAATAATAATAACAATAACAATTGAAATAATAATACTAATAATAATAATCAATAAATAATAATAATAATCATCAATAAATAATAATAATAATAATAATAACAACAACAACAACAACAACAACAACAACAACAACAACAACAACAACAACAACAATAATAATAATAATACTAATAATAATAATAATAATCAATAAATAATAATAATAATAATCATCAATAATTAATAATAATAATAATAATAATAATATTATTATTAATAATATGTACATTTGTATATACACATATGTATAGTAATAAATAATCAATAAATAATCAAAGATCACTAATCCGTAGTTAAAAATCACTAATTAATAAGTTCAGTTCAGTTCAGTTGAGTTCAGTCAATCGGAACAGGCCCTTATTGAAAAGAAAAAAAACCCTAGCCTCTCTTCTCTCTTTAAAACCCTAGCCTCCATTATTGAATTTTGAAGGGGCTTCCATCGGATTTACTGGTGGAAAGCCCCAATCATTGTTTCTTTTGTAGCTTTAGGTTTATAATAATTCTTCCTCTTCTAGGAGGAATATTTCTCCCTCGAAATATAGGGTTTTTCTTCTTCTTTAGGAGGATTTGACTCTTTCGAAAGACCGGGTTTTTCTTCGCTCTTTTGAGGGAGGATTTGCTTTTTTATTTCATGGATTGCTATAGAGTTGTTTCATGGGTAAAATTTTGTGCGGTATTGAAAAAGAGATTAATATTTCGACAACCAACGAACGAATCAGACGGAAATTTTCTGCACGGCTACAACAGATCCATAGACCCCCTCGCCAAAGAAGGCTTTAAATCAAAGCGATATGAAAGAGGGTATGAAGAATGTACAATTTGCAACAACGATCGTAGCTTTGATCACATAATGTTTTTATTTGATTCAATTATCATGTATTTGTTAGATCTAAATCTCTTTGTAGATGTCGTATGACTTATTTATGAATCAATTTTATTTTAAAAAAAAAATATTGAAGTTGGGGGTGGGGTGGGGGGATATTCAGTTGGAAAATACAATTAGGAACCAACAAAAAGGCAACACTAATTAGTCTACTCTCAATCTCTCATAGCCATGTTCTTGTTATATCATTTAAAAGTGGTACAATAAATTAGATATTACCCATGTTCATTCAATCAAAAACTAATAAGTTCTTTAATTTGTTTGAAAA